TAATTTTAACTAACTTGGCAGTTTAAGTGCAAAATGTAGATTTCCAGTGGAGATGCTAGTATGGTTTGTTTTTTGGGCTAAAACTGGCAAGTGTAGACATAGCCTAACTCAGCAAGAGGTCATGGGTCTATTCCAGGAGTGCATGCATGCTGTTCTGTGGCCTGCACTGTGCAGGAGGTCAGACTAGTTGACCATAATGGTCCCTTCTGGCCTTGAAGTCTATGAGGTTAAACAGAAATAGGAAGCTGACAAGGATAGCATTGCTTCATTGAAACTTGCACTAAATCATTTTAGTTTGCCACTGAAAAAATCACCTATTTTCTCACCCATTAATTTATGTTGATATTTGGTACTTCTCTTTTTCCTGTGAACCCCACATGAAACAGAGGAAGTGGAATAGAAAATCTACTTGGAACAATCTGTTTCTTCAAAATGTGGATTATTTCCTTTATAATACAGGACACTTCTAAAAATAAACATTATTTACAAAAAAAGATCGTTACACCAGGAGGGATCAATGTGTCAGACACAGGAAGCCTACTCAAGATAGCAGTGATCAGAAGAAATCAGTATAAAATCTGAGCTTGCTTCCTATCTCCAAATGAGATTTTGTTGACGTTTGTTAACTTTTATCACAGAGAAGTCTCTAGTTACTCGGCCATTTTCATATTACAGTAAGATTACAGTTCATAGAACTATACTGGTTTATGTGGTAAAAAGTGCTACAACATGTCCTGATAGGCATTTTTTTAATTAAACCAATGTCATATGCTATACCTGACTGCAAATGCATGAAAAAACTGAATACTATTAAAGAGAAAAAAGCAATTAATCTAAAATAAAGAGGGAAGATACCTTGGTAGCAGTTGACAATAGCAGAAATTCTTTTATAATTTCCCTTAAGTGAATATAGAGTCTCTCTTACTTTTCTGCACCACTCTTGGGAAATGCTGGCTAGCTAGCAGAAGATTTGTTAAAAACAAACTGACGATATCCCATGCAAACCCTTCTCTTTTCCAACATATCTCCTAAACTCCACAAAGAATGTCCGCACTGTCAACTGCAAACAATAGGTTTGATTCTATAGACAAAGATGTGGGACATTTGTCAACAGCCAGATCTCCTCCACTGTGAGATTATCAGAGATAAGGCAAGCAAGCACTGACTGGATCAATACCTAGATAAGAGAGCTCCTGAGAGAAACGAGGTGTGACAAGGCTAGTGATTTATTAATGAGGCACTCTGCCTCTGAAATAATATTGAACCAATGCTCCAGTAGGATATTAGAGGAGAATTCTATTGCCAAAGGGTGCTGTCTCTCAGATGAGATGAAACACAGTTATTAAAAATCCTATGATCCTTCCAATATTTCCAAGAAAAGTGGACTTAATTTGAGTGTCCAGAAAAATTCCAAATTAGATAACGACAATCTGTTAAACTAAAGTTGCCACTACCATTGCATTCAAAGAAAGCCTTCTTCACTTGTGGGGGCCCTCAACTCCTGTGCTGTGTTCATGTGCGCTCTTAAGCAGATGCTTCACTTCACAGCAGAAGGGGCTACTGTACACTTGTGGGAAGCAAAGTGATTCCAATAGAGATCACATGCTGTATAAATTATTCAAGAACATTTGTGCAGCATGTTAAAATCCTAAGTAAATCTACACAGTAAAGTGACAGAATTCCCCAAACCACCAAGTAAAGTCTGATGAGCAGAGATAAATGGATCTATATGGGTAATATTTTCAAAATAACCAACCTGACTAAAGAACTTAAGTTACCCTGGGTACTAAGGAACTTACTTGATTTACTTGCATAGTGTGCCCAGTGAGCAACCAGCCTATCACTAGGACTTCTTAGAAGACCTCCTCTGGTCCAATAGAGCTTAGCTATATTAACAGTGCTCTGTGTAATAACTCTGCTATTGTTCTAAAAGGGTTTTCTTAAGTACTGTGATCAACAATCCAGTTAAAAAATTATGCAGATAAATACTGTCTCAAGCTATATACCTGATGTTGGGCAAAGGGAGAGAGACATAAGGGAATGCAGCTATAAGAACACAGAAATGGAAGGTATTAAATAAAAATATCTAGGGAAGAAAGAGGTGAAAGGCAGAGACAGACAAAGGTTTGTTTAAACCAATGAAGAATATTAAAATAGCACATGCCTACAAAATGTACACAAACCGAGGCTTTAATCCACTGTATGATTCTAGTTACATGAACATTCCTATTTAAGAGATTTACCAGAATATTTACCTTTCTCGGCTAGTTTATATTTGAGCAGTAAGACATTCAAGGGTCTATATTTTTAAATTAGCTGAATATTTCTAGTCTCCAAAAGAAATATACTAAGCCTAAAATGAGCTACAATCATATCTTATCTTGCTACCCATACTAATCACAAACATACATTTTCTGAAAAACCCCTGAAGTTGTTATAATAGCTAGAGAAGTCAAGGCTGCTATGCAATTCACAGGGATAGGTTCCACATTAGCACTGCGTTATACAAATCAAGTTTGCATTTATTTCAAACAAACAAAATATAAAAAAGGCAATGATATTGCTCATTAGGAATTGTAACTCTTTAGAAAAGACCCAGAACCATTTTCTGCCTATGTATCAACAGTCCAGTACACTCATCATTTTGCTTTCAGCTTTTATAGTAGTAATTTCATTTTTATTTTATATTTGCAGAATATTACCTGCAACTTCGCTTTTATGAAGGTCATCAGGAGACTGCACAAACAAATCTGCCCTGTTCTCACATCAGACCTTTTCTCAAGTTCTGCCAGAGAAGAGATGACCTTCAATAGCTATGTGTCTGTCATAAAATCCTGACCTCTCTTTCAACAAAATAAGCAGGATTTCTAGCCCCTGTCTACTGCCTTTTCTAATACCACATATACAAAATTTTCCTTTGAAAGCTGCAAATAGTCACTCCTTAGTTTCGGATCCAGGTATTTAAAATAACACTAAGGTCATGAAACTGAACATTTTTGTTCCAAGCAATACTGCTGCACAAAAATTCCTGAACTCACAGCAGGACTTTTTTTCTGGGTAGAAACAAGGTCATGCTATTCTAAAGGCAAAATGTGCACAATGAGTGCAGAAGAGACTTTCAGCAACATTTTTCTGTGCGCAGGCTTTGGACCAACTTCCTGTGTTTTGGCACAGTGAACACTGTACACTTAAGGAGCTCAGACCAGAAATAGTGAATATTCTCTAAGCAGCCTGATGAAGGTTAGTCTTTACTAGGGATGTAAAAAGAGTAGTCGAATAGTCGATTACCCAATAAACCTAGGCTTCTCAGGTAGTTGAGTGAACTACTCGCATTTCTCCTCCCCTTTACTGCCTTTATATCAGAGGCAGCAAGGAGGGGTGGGGGAAACCAGCTTACAAACGGGTTCCCCCCCAGCACCATCTCTGCAGTGGGGGGGCAGAGGAAGCAGACGTGCAGCGGCACTGCAGCTCTGCCTTTTACATGTCCAAAGCTCACGCCAGGTCCAAAGCTTGTGCCAGGTCCTGCACTGCTCCTCTGCCTTTCAAATGTAGTATGGGGCAGATAGCTCTAATTACATTTAAAAGGCAGAGTCGCAGTGGGGGTAGAGAACGTCCCCTCCCCCACCTTATCGAGTAATCAAGTAGTCCATTTAAATTCCATCAACTACTCAATTAGCTGCAATTTAACATCCCTATTGTCTACAAGTTTTGGAGCAGTCAGTCAAGGAATGAACTTACTGCATACTAACTTGCCCTGTGTAGTGAGATGAAGGCCTAAAACATAAGCCCATGTAGCAAAGGCCTGGTCTGGGGACTGAGACCTAGCTAACAATGGATAAAACATAGCTAACATAAAGCAAAGCTAAGCTATAATCAAGAGGCAGGTCCTTACTCACAGAACTTGGCACGAACAGGGCTCAGAGTCTAAAACACCAATTGGGATTAGGTCCAGACGTAGAACAGTAATTGGTACTGGTCACCTTGAAAGCACATTCCAAAGGGATGGTAACACCAGCTCATTAAAAACAACCTAGATACCAACACTCCCACAGAAACAGACTCGGGTTCAGGAAAGGGTCTAAAATGACAGCATGGTGGATAGAGATGATCTAATCAAACCACGAGGTGCATGGTGATGGGTGGTATCTAAGAAGTGTCAGAGAGTGGTAACCTGACAATATCAGAGGATGGCCACCTGACATGACAGGACCGATGTGTAACTTGTTTGTATCTGGACATAAAGTGGTGTCTTGGGGGGCGGTCAGTCTTTGTCTGATGGGAGGGGGGGAGCAGTGGGAGTCTCCCACTGATTGAGACAGTCCATTGTTACTAGTACATACATATGCGTAGTGGATAGCTGTACTTCACTTAACAATAAACCTGCTCAGGCACCTTCACTCCTTATCTGATTTGCAGTCTTTGGGAGGCTCTCTCGGGTCTGCTGTGGCGACTAATTGTGTAAGTCAACACAGCATACATCACTGAGCACACACACAAGCAGGCTTCTGGTTATCATCATCATGGACAGAGCAGGAACAACCCTGCCTGACGGCCAACACCCTCCACTAATTCTTCATGTGAACACCATTACAGACACAGCAAACATTTCATGGGAGTACACCAAAGTGTCTGATAGAACCCCCAGTGTGCTTTAGAGTGCATGTGACCATTTACTGCACAACATGCTACTGTACTGCAGGTTCACAACTTGGCTTGCAATGCACTAACTTGCCATGTAGACAAACCCTTACAGTGTGTTTGTCTTGGAAAACGTGCCGAAAATCTAGCTTGAGCAGCAATTACTACATATAATGAAATTTAAAAATATGCCTATATTAGTTACCAAGGGTGCCAATTTATTAAAGGAGTCGACAGCTTCATGTAGTGGAGATGTATCTGAAAGGACTCTAGGAGAGAGAATTATAGGACACATATTCAGTATCATGTGTAGGAGATGTTTTGTTGGTATGAAGTATAATGCAGTAACAGTGAATTCTTACTCTTCTAACGCTCGAAGCATGTTCTTAGAGTCTTCAAAAGCCAGTATCTCAATAATCTGGTCATTCATAATGGTATCTTCATTAAAGGGATCTCCTGAATTAAACTGTGAATACTCCAGTTTGTGATCCAAAATATACTCATATTGATCCTCCTAAGTAAACACAAAAAAGTAAACACATTACAATAGATCAACTCTTAGTGTGGATACAACTCAGATTGTTGTCAGGGAAAGCACTCCCATTTACTTTAATAGGAGTTTGCATGGATGCTATGTTTTGGTATACAACTGATGAGGAATCTAATTGATGAAAACAATCAATGTGATTTAGGATCCTAGGCTCCTAAATCAGGCATTTCAATAATGAGAACTACAACACCTACACATCTTTAAGAATCAGGACCAAAGCACACTGAAGTCAATAGGAGTTTATCCTTAGCTTCAATAGGCTTTGAACCAGCTTCATTCAGTTATTTTACACTCAATCCCTAGGACCAGTAGAGGATACACAACTTTTTATATACAGTTGTTGAACAAAATCACACAATTCTATGTCTGCACTGGTGTTGTCCTCATGTTGGTCCCAGGGTACCAGGTAGGGGAGTGAAAGATTAGTGAGGTAATACCCTGTACTGGACCAACTTTTGTTATTGGAAGGACAAGTTTTGGAGCCACACAAAGCTTTTTCCCAAAAAAAGATTATTGTTATGTAGCTCACTTCCACCAACAGATGTTGGCACATATTTTATGAAAGAGGAAAAGTGCTAATTCAGCTAATATACACTATACATGGATTCCCTTGATATTAAGGATTAATAAACTTAGAAAAAATGAAAACCTTTTAAAATCTCTGGTGCAGGAACCAGTCTGCTACACTTTTATGATTTGTGTATCATGCTTTATTCATAAAAGGTCATTGATGTAAGCTATTTTCACTGAGTATGGTTATTTCTTCCAACAAAGAGAAATAAAAAAGTTATGAGCCATTTTTCAAACATGACACACACTGATGTAAGTACAGAACTTATTTTCTCTTAACATACTATTATTTTACAACAAATGAAATATTTATTGTGAATTTTAAATAGCCTCCTGTAACTTTTCTAATCAGATCCTTCAATGATCCCACAAAGAGAAGTTCATGAGGACCTAATATATTAATTTAAATAATTACAATAAACAGTGAACACTGAATAAAACAACTTAAAAAGAGTTTCAGACATTATTTGTACATCACAAAGAAGGAGAAGGGGGATTTTTAAATTGATTATTTTGTGCTTTACAGTTTGCATTTAAATATGCTTTGTTAAGAAAGGATACAAGGCCCACAGTCATTTTCACAAAGACAAAGGAAATAAATAATGCACATTTGTACAAATCAAACTACATAAAGGTATTCAGCAAAATAACTGTGTCAGCTAGGCCCCCTGGGCCTTTGAAATCTGACATGCTACATTGGAACACTTCCTAGAACTCTGGCCCAAGAACGGGTTTTAAATCACCCACTTTTCTTACATAGTCTTCCCTACCCTGTCTAAGGTCTTCCCTATCTGTGTTACCCTAATACACTGGAGTTCAGCTTTGGGCAACTCCCTCTCTCCTTCAGTCAATAAGTCTCAGACTAAAATGAATACTTGAGACGTTGTGTGAAAGTAGCCATTTTATAGCAGAGATCAGCAAATATCACACCCATCAGTTAAAAAGAAAGGCAGAGCTTTAA